AATATTAAGTCAATATATTATTATCATCACATCGCAAACCACACAGATACACAAATCATCCAAATCCACCATATCACTCAACCAACACCATGTCATGTTCATGTCACTACTGTCGCATCACATGCCTAGCGTCGTGCCACGCATACATCTATGCTAATTGCCACACATCTTGCACTATGTCATGCCCATGCCACCGTTGTCGCATCACATGCCCAGCGTCGTGAAGTTAGAGGAAAAACACATAGAAGAGGGGTTGAATATGTGTGTGTGTGAATGAAGAAATTTTAAAACCGTTTTCGCATAGAGACTCTTTTTGTCCAATAAAAATATTATTTTGAAGACTTAAAAACTGTGCAGGATTGGCTCAACAAAATATTTTGCATCTGAGAGTTTATCGTCTGCACAAGGAAAATGTTTCTTAACATAATAAGTTAAGCAGGTGTATTTTTCGTCTGAAGAGAGCTGTAGTGAAGAATAAGCAATGGACGAAATTTTTAGTATGATATTTCAACTAAACAAAATTGAGTCTGAAACATAAATAATCAGTGCAAAGATTTTTATACTGGTTCGCTCAGATTGAGCTACGTACAGTCTCCTTCAATTGAAGGGTTCCACTAGATTTTCAATTAAGTACAAGATTATCACCATTTCTAGTTTGCCAAGTATTGTCGACCACTTCTAGCCCGCCAACTTCACTTGTCAGCACTAGTATTCTTTGTTCAGCCTCTTCAGGCTCTCAGTGAGTATTCTCCACCACTCCTAGTTCCCGAGTATTATCAGCCACTCCTGGTTTGCCAACTTCACTTATTAGCGCTAGGATTCTTTGTTCAGCCTCTTCAAGCTCTCAGTGAGGATTATCGATCACTCCCAGCCTGTTAACTTCACTCATTAGCACTAGTATTCTTTGTTTAGCCTCTTTAGGCTCTTAGTGAGGATTATCGACCACTTCTGGTCTGCTAACTTCACTCATTAGTATTAGTATCCTTTGTTCAGCCTCTTCAAGCTCTCAGTGAGGATTATCGATCACTCCCAGCCTGTTAACTTCACTCATTAGTGCTAGTATTCTTTGTTCAACCTCTTCAGGCTCTTAGTGAGGATTCTTTGACAAGCCTCTCCAGGCTTATACAAGTATTCTTCCCCTAGCCTCTTTAGGCTTTACAAATGATAGATAAATTTTTTTGAGTGTGTGGTTTACTCTCACAGAGAGGATACAAAGATTTACTACCCTCACTAAGGTTTATGTTCCTAAGTTACACTTAGAACTCCTTAGTCTACAAAGATAAATACAATATTGTACATTTGACTATGTATGCTCTGTCTCTGGTTTTCGTTGCTTCTTGGGCTTGGAATCACTCTTCTCCAACCTTTCCAGGTTTGAAGTCATGACATATTTATAGTCTCTATAAAATTTGCCCGTTGTAAGTGTCCGTTGAAGTAGAATGTAGTTGTTCATGACTAGTTCGATCACTCATTTAATGCACTAGATTTTGCATTAAATGTTGCTTCTTGTTTATAGACATTGTGTGAAGTCTTCTACGTTTTTGTTAGCTACAATATCTGACTTTAACTATGACCTAGGAATTTCTTGTCCTTTTTTGGTCATCATAGCTGCAGAGGCGTTGCCTTTATCTGAAAAAGTAATGTACTTTTTCTGACACACGCATGCTTTGACTTGTGGATACGCGCTTGTCTATCTTTCTTCCTTCTTCTCACAATTTTGATTACTTCGTGTGCTCTTCTATGAGTGTAGACGATATCTGAGTTATCCCTTGAGACTTGATTCTTCAAATGCTCGCAGACAGTCTTCGTCTGTGTCTGGTAGTTCGTGTGCATCTTAAGACTTGATCTTCGTCTGAGTATTTTTCATTAATGCTTTGACTTCCTTTAGTCTGGTCAACATTGTAGATGGACAGACTTCATTTCCTTCTAGAATTCTTTTCAGTCTGTGTTGTCCTTCGTCTGATATGTAGTTGACTTTTGAATGATTCTTGACCAGCCTTCGTCTGAATCCTTATGTTGCGCTTTAGGTTGTGCTTGACACATCTACGTCTGGTATTTGATCCATTATCGTCTGGCGCTCATGTCGTATTTTATCTATCACTTGACTTTGCTTCGTCTGATCCTCATGCTATTCTTTTCCTTGACTCATCTTCGTTTGGTATTTGAAGAAGTTTTATCTATGATCTGTATGGACTTCTTCTCGTTCTTGAATGTGTTTCGTCTGAGGCTTGCTCATTTCCTTCTTGTACTAGACTTGCCTTCATTTGACCTTTCCGTCTGATGCTTGAAGCTTTCCTTCCTTAATCTTGGTTCTAGTATAATTTGCATGTACTTATGTTTTTTTGAAACACTAACACACATGTTATAAATAATAATATGTATTATATTTGTCTCATTCAAAACTTTGCTGGGAATTGCTTCGTCTGACTTAACACGTCGTGCCACTCATACATTTGTGTCAAGACATCACACCATAGTCCACAACTCAATTCCACATCACATACATAATATAGACAAATCCACACAAAACAATGGTTCATATACCCCTCAGGCAATTCACATGAATTCACATCACATCATCATAGGTATATGAACTAATTCTACAGTATAATATCATACAACTTTAAACCACTCTTCAATCTACATGATAACACCTTAAAATATCAAAATAACATGCATTTCTCTTTGACAACTGTTATAGCAAATAACACACAAAGAGTTATTCTCATCCAAATAAGCTCAAACATATTTCAAAATAAATATAAGAGTATAATATACAACTCTTATGAAGACATGAAATTCTAAAGAAATCATCTACTTGGCTAAAAATTTCAAAAACCGAAACAAATATAATCCATGTTAACAGCTTGACCTTTGTTCACTAAAACGGCCATAACTTCAGTTATGCACATCTTTTTTGAGCGATTCCACAGCTATTGAAAAGCTAACACCCAAAGCTACAACATTTGTGAAGCACATGAAGCCTAAAAATGTCGTTAAGGTCACCTCGCATGGATAATAACACAAAACTTAATATTTCACGTACTGAATGGAGACTAAACTTATAACTCTCATAACTCAATCAATTCTTAACATTTTTACACAATTCTAGAGTCTAAATTATAGCCCCAAGTGTCTAATTTCTAACCCAATAAATGGAAATTGATTTGGTTAATTACACAGAAAGATATTATAAAAATACTAAGGTACATCCATAAGTAAAATTTCTCAATTACTCATTAATTCATATAATTAAGAGTGTTCATCAATCTACAAGAATCCTAACTTACAAAACACATCCAAATGAATTCTATTATCATCTAGATCTTCAAATTTACCATACAATATAACAATCACATTTATAAATCAATATAAAATCTGATTGAATCATCAATTTCACGAAACAACATACCAATTGACAAAACTCCAATCCCTCATGAATTCTAACTCACAAGCACATTTCAATTAATTCAATCTCTCTCCCAAAACATCAATTTTTAATTTATTTTTATTTATAATTAATTTAAAACTGTAATAATTAATGAAATTAATCTCTTATGATGTTGTTTCAATTTTCTATTATTATTATTATATAATAATAATACTTTAAATTTTAATTCTATATAATATATTGAGTATTTCAGTGGGATATTTTAGGAGAGAAAAAATACTATAGAAGATTTATACTTTATATACATGAAAATATTTTTATTTTTTAACATAAATTTTGAAGGCAATATGTTTTAAATTAATATTTATTATTTTTTATAAAAAAAATATTTTTATTTTAAATTTAATATTTTCTATTTTATTCACAAATCAAATTACTTGTATTATAAAATTGTCCATAATGTAAATTTTTCATTCAAATATTTTCAATTAATATAAATATTTTACATGAATTTTTTAAAAAAATTTAAAAATATACTTTAGGAGAATAATTTGATTTCACAAATATATTTTGATAAATTAATTTAATTAATGTTATAAATTTTGATTATTTTAATTTAATTTTTTCTGTGAAATTTTTTTCAAAAAAATTGTTAATTCTTTTATTTTTTGACATAATCAATGTTGTTAAAATTGCGACTCACCTCGTAAAATCGTAGGATTTTACGGTATGCAGAGAACTTTCTATGCTAAATCAGATGCGTAATCATTGCAGAATAAGATCAGAGTAAGATCGCGATCTTCCGCATGATTCGTGGGATCTTTGATCTCACGATTCGAAAAAATAAAAACAAAATATTGGGGTAGATTGCAATCAATCTTCGCAGCAAAAACCCTAAGTTCTTCCTATTTATATTGTTGCGTCACAACAGAAGAAGAGGAAGAACACAGCCGCAAAGCAGTAGAAGAAGAACATAGCTCCACAACAAAAGAAGAACATGGTAGCAGGCACAGTAGAAGAACACTAACGCAGGGAACACGCAGGCGCAGTAGAAGAAGAACGGAAGTACGAAACACGTACGCATAGCCAAATAAGAAGAAGAAGAAACTTAAGAAAAAAAAATAGAAAATGAAGAAGAAAAGAAAGTTAAGAAAAATTCACCAAGAGGCTAAGTATTATTATCTTTTAATATAATTTTTTAACAATTTTTAAAAATAGTGAATTACATTAAATTTTTTAAATTCAATCTCAATAAAACTGAGTAATTCAACCATTTTTTATTTTACTTCTACGAATGATTACTTATTCTTTTGAAGTATTAGTGTATTACTGAATTACTTTTGAAGTATTATCTAATTGTTTTAGTATATTTTTTAAACAATTTTTAAAAACAACGAAATACGTTAATTTTTTTTAAATTTAATATCAATAAAATTGAATTATTCAACCTTTCTTTTTTATGTTAATTCAATTAATTCCTTTTTTAAATTCTTTCCTTCCTTCACTATTTTTTTTCTCATTTAATTTCTTATTTTTATTAGTGTTTGTTTTAAAATTATTGAAGAAAAAATGGAATCAGAAGAAGGAACTCAAGCAAGTGAACCACCACGAAAATTGCACAAAAATGTTGCTAAAATGAAAACTGATGTGGCATGGAAATATTGTGTTTCTGTTGATGGGGATGCAAGAAAAGTTAGTGCAATTTTGTGAAAAGACATTTATAGAAGGGATTTATCGTTTGAAACATCATTTAGCAAGAACATCCAAAGATGTTGGAGCATGTAGATCGGTTCCTAAAGATGTTAAGAAAGATATGTTAGGTATTGTTTCATCATTGCAACAAAACCTCCTAAAATAATCTGGTGATATTGAAGGAATAGGTAGTAGTTTTGCTGCTCAATTAGAAGGTAGTGATATTGGTAGTCAAAATCTTTTCAAGAAAAAAGTTAGCTCTTAAATGACAATCAACAAGATCTTTAAGAAGGATTTGAGGGAGGAAGCATGTCAGGACATTGCTCTATTTTTTTATTTGAATGTTATCCCTTTTAATGCAACCAATAATGAAGCATATAAGAAAGTGTTTGATTGCTTGACACGGTCTAGGATTTGACCCACCATCCTACCATGAGATTAGGGTGAAATACTTAAAGTATCATGTTGAAATGAACAATCTTTCTTTAGATGATCATAAAACTTATTGGAAGAAATTTGGATGCACAATAATGACAGATGGATGGACAGATAAGAAGAGGAAGACTATATTAAATTTTTTAGTAAATAGTCCACTTGGAACAATTTTTTTGAAGTCTATTGATGCATCCAAGATATCCAAAATAGATGACAAAATTTTCAAGATGTTAGCTGATGTAGTTGAAGAGGTTGGGGAAGAAAATGTTGTTCATATTGTCACAGATAATGCAGCAAATTATAAGGCAGTTGGGGAAATGTTGATGAAGAAAAGGACTAAGTTGTATTGGACACCTTGTGCAGCTCATTGCATTGACTTAATACTTGAAGATTTTGAGAAAAAGATACCACTTCATAGTGAAACAATTGCAAGTGGTAGAAAGATCACATCATACATCTATGGTAGAACAAGTCTTATTGTTTTATTGCATAAATTTACTAAGGGGAGTGACTTGATTAGACCTGGCTTGACTCGTTTTGCTACTTCCTACTTAACCTTGGGATGCTTGAATGAGAATAAGGGTCCATTAACTAGAATGTTCACATCTAAAGAATGGACTTCTAGTCAATTAGCAAAGACAAAGGATAGAAAGTTTATGGAGAATTTGGTTACAAATAAGGGATTTTGGAAAAATGTTTTGAATTGTATGAGAGGTGTTTTTCCCTTAGTTAAAGTGTTGCACTTAGTGGATTCAGATGAAAAGCCAGCCATGGGGTTCATTTATGAAGAAATGGACCGAGCTAAATAAAAGATACAAGATGCTTTTAGAGGAGATGAGAGTAGGTAATTATCTTCTATTCTATGTGCTTCATTTTATAAATTATAGACTTAAGAGTTTGGTTGAAAACTACTTCTTTTTTTTTTCAATTGTAGCTACATTCCCTTATGGGAAATTATTGATCAAAGATGGGACAAACAATTACATAGGTCTTTGCATGTTGCAGGTTACTAACTTAACCCTATACTATATTATGCTCCTAATTTTAAGGTTGATTGGAAAGTTAAGAAAGGATTCATCGATTACATGCAAAAGATTGTTGGAGAATTAAAATAATAGAAAAAATTGATGACCAACTTGAGTATTTCAAGAAAAAAAAATACCTTTTTTGGTCATCCTATAGCTCAACATGCTCTTAATACCAAAAGTCTAGTAAATTGGTGGGAATCTTATGGAGATAAACATCCAGAATTGTAACAATTTGCAATTCGAGTTTAAATTTGACATGTAGTTCATCCACCAAATTGGTGGGAATCTTATATGAATTTATAATTGTTATGTTTTTAGTTATTAAGTCTTGTGAGTTATGAATTTTCTAATTTCTATTAGGAGTTGTTAAACTTTATATATATATATATATATATATTCTTATTTTAAATTTGGGTATTATATTTTTAATAACTTAAGTAAGAATGTAAGATTTTACAATCCAAGTTACGATTTTCGAGTTGCGATGTTTCACTCTCTTTTCGATCCTAAGTAAAATATCGATTTTAACAATATTGGACATAATATCTATAGTTATTTTTATTCATTTATTTTGTCCAATTTATCATTTATATTATAATTTCTTTTTATTAATTATAGAGGTAAAACCTATAACAATTTTATTAATTATTATGGTATTAGTTAATTTGATATATTTATTAACTTTTAATTATTTTTCATATTAACTTATTTTATAATAAAATTTATATATAATTATATATATATATATATAATATAGAAGAAAATTTGGAGGAAAGGAAAATTTATACAGAATTCATTCCTTTTATATTATTAATAATAATTTTTTTAAAGTGAAGTCTTCAAAAAAATTTACTAAACTAAAATAAATACACCATAACTAGAAATCTTCACCTGCTAACCTCTATGTGGCATTGAGGTTAAGAATCTGTTTGATTAGAAATTTAAAAGAATTTTGGGAACTTCTACATTCGAAAAATCTCCTTATCTTCAATAAAGAACTTCTAAAAAATTCCTATAAACTCGTATTAAAACATAGTATAATCGAATATCTAGCTTCTTAATCATAAATCATTACAAAAAAAAATGTACTAATGATTAATCATTATACACTTTTTATAACATTAATATAAACATTGTAGATGCATACTAATCGTAAAATGCACTATACTGATAATAATTTGACCGACGGAATATATCATTTTCTATATTAATATAATTGTAAATCATACAAAATATCATATTAGTATAGATTCATAACATCTACGAATAATTCAGGTTTTATTTTCTCACAAAAGTGGAGTGATTTTTTAAGGAAAAAAATTGAAATAAATTAAAAAAAATCCCAAAACGATTTAGTAAAGTAAAACTCGTGTTTTTAAAATATAGTTTTTGTAACAGCCCAATTTTTCGTTGGGCCAAGGGCCCAATTCGTTGCTTGGAACAGGCCGTTCCGGAATAAGGAAATGCTTAGAAAATGAAGTGGGAGAACGGGTCGTTCCAATTGGAGAACGGACCGTTCTGGTTTGGAGAACGGGTCGTTCTGGAGGGAGAACGGACCGTTCTGGAATGGGTTTGAAAACGGGTCTTTCCGGTTTTAGAACGGACCGTTCCAGTTGAGAAATTTGCGAAGACTCCTTATGAATTGTGGAAGGGACGAGCACCCAACATATCATATTTTCACCCATTTGGTTGCAAATGCTTTATTCTAAACACCAAAGAAAGCCTAGGAAATTTTGACTCAAAAACCGATGAGGGTATTCTACTCAGATACTCTGAAAGGTCAAGAGACTATAGGGTGTTCAACAACAGAACCAAAACTGTTGAAGAAGCCATACGTGTTAAATTTGATGAAAACAAGTTTGATAAAGAAATATAAAATTGCAAAATCATCAGAAAGAGCCTAATGAACAAGCAGACAAAGTCATCTTTACCAGATGTAAAGGGTAGTCAAGATTAGACGAAGAATCAAAACTAAGGTGTGTATCCAGACGCAGTCGGAAAATAATGAAGCTCGTCTGAAGTCCACTAATTACATTGAGTAAAATCATACAAGAAACACAAAAGGACATTGAACCTGAATACAGAAAGAAGAAAAATAGGCAAGCATGGATTCACAAGTCAAAGTTGCGTGCATCAGAAAAAGTACACCTACTTTCCAAAAAAAGACAGCACCTCAACAGTTAAACTGATGAGAAAAGTACAAACATGCCTAGATCATGATTGAAGTCAGACATTGAAATAATCAACTACACAGAAGGACTTCACGTATACAAGCAAACATTTAATGCAAGATCAAATGCATTAAATGAAAAGATTTACATAGTCATGAACAAGTCTCCATCTGCAACGACATGAAGCTACGCTCCAAAGAGAAAATTTGAATTCAAACAACGGGCAGATTTATTCAGACTACACATAGAATTATTCGGACCCACTAGGATAGCATCTATCAGTGGTAAACGATATGGACTAGTCATTGTGGATGACTACACTAGATGGACATGGGTGTTGTTCATAACTCACAAGGATGAGTCTTTTAAGGTATTTCATGTATTCTATAAAAGAGTTCAAAATGAAAAGGGAATATCAATTGTTTCTATCATAAGTGATCATGGGGAAGAATTTGAAAATGAACAATTTCAAGAATTTTGTTAAGAAAACGAAATTAAACACAACTTCTCAACACCTAAAACTCCACAACAAAATGGGGTTGTAGAAAGAAAGAATCGTTCTTTACAAGAAATGGCAAGAACTTTACAGCAGTTAATACTTCTTGCTATATTCAAAACAAAATATATATTAGGCCTTTACTGAAAAAGACTCCTTATGAATTGTGGAAGGGACGAGCACCCAACATATCATATTTTCACCCATTTGGTTGCAAATGCTTTATTCTAAACACCAAAGAAAGCCTAGGAAATTTTGACTCAAAAACCGATGAGGGTATTCTACTCAGATACTCTGAAAGGTCAAGAGACTATAGGGTGTTCAACAACAGAACCAAAACTGTTGAAGAAGCCATACGTGTTAAATTTGATGAAAACAAGTTTGATAAAGAAATATAAAAGCTAGGAAATTTCTTCGAGAACATGCAGGTGAACAATGATCAGACGAAGAAAGCTGAGTCTGAAGAAACAGTGACTCAACAGGATGAAAGAGAGGAAAGAGAACCAGTCAATCGCAACTGGTAGATGAAAGCTCATCACCCACAAGAACAAATCATTGGAGAAGCAAAGGATGTAGTAAGAACTAGAAGTTCGTTCAAAACACAAGCACAGATTGCACTACTATCCCAAGTTGAACCAAGAATCACGAACAAAGCCCTGTTAGACGAAAGTGGGGTTCAGGCCATGCAGGAAAAACTAAGCTAACTCCAAAAAAATGATGTATGGAAACTTGTTCCAATGCCAGAATACAGATCATTCTACTCAGATACTCTGAAAGGTCAAGAGACTATAGGGTGTTCAACAACAGAACCAAAACTGTTGAAGAAGCCATACGTGTTAAATTTGATGAAAACAAGTTTGATAAAGAAATATAAAAGCTAGGAAATTTCTTTTTCATTAAAAAAAAATAGAAGTCATTTTTTAAACAATTTTTTTAATTCTACGTAAAAGAAAATATTATTTTAAAGTTAAAAAAAATATATCGAACAAATCGTGTTACAAAACACAACTTTACCTTTTAAAAAAATAAAAATAAAAATCGTGTTTTGCAATACGACTTCAGTTTTTTCTTTTTTAAATGTGTTTAGAAACATGACTTTCATGTCATGACTTATAGCGTGTTTGAGTTAGCGTTCCAACGTGAAAAATCACGTTTCATCAGAAGGAAAAAATTTCAACTTCTTTGTAAATGCATATATGGACGTGAAGAGAGTATAAACTTACGTTTATAAATTCAAACCAAACACACACTTAGTTATTTTCACTTTTTTTTTAAACACCAAAGTAAATTAAAAAAAAAAACCATTTCGTAAATTTTAAGAGCAAACTTAACAATAAATATTTTTAAAATAATCTACAATCTTGAAATAAACTACACATACTTTCAAAAAAAAAAAAAAAAAAAGTGGTGGTGAGTGGTCCAACCTCAACCTGCTTTAGGATAAGAATAACCGAATAAAATAGCGTACAATATGCTACAGTCAGAAAGTTAGAGGTCCGTAGATCTACAAATGTAATTGTTTTGTTTTTTTCTTTGGTAGAAGTCCAACCCAATGTTTTTTTTTTTCTCATTTGTTTTATAACAAAAAGTTTATATTGGGATAAAGCCGATAAATCATGATTGTAGACCGGTAACCTCTTTAAATTTTTTTAATAAAATTAGGTTTGCATAGAAAGATGTAAAATATAAGAAAGTAACATTCAATCATAAGTCTTAATTAATAAGAATTAAGAAATTTAGTGATCATTTTGATACGTGAAATATTTTTATTTTTTTGGAAATCTTAGTTTGTTATGTTTGGTAATTATTTAAAAAAAAATTAAGAATGTAACTTTTTGAAAATCATTTTTATTTTACTTTTTTACAAAAAAAATCTCATAAGTGGTATAAAATCAATTTTCCTAAGTTCAAGAAAAAGTTTTATGTATATAAGAAAATCATAATATTTAAAAATAAAAATAAAAACAATAACAAAAACTTTCTCTCTCATTTATTTTTTTTTCTTTCTTTGTCTCTCTCATTCTCGCTCCTCCTCTCTTACTCTCTCTCTTCCCCTCCTTCTCCCTCTCTCTTTTTCTTTATCTCTCTCCTTCTATTTATATTTCCCTTTCTCCCTCTCACTCTCCCTTCTTCCTGTTTGTAACGATCCGCCTAGCCGTCGCACAACAAACAACACCACACAAAATAGAGTATGCATATAAATAGAAAAATATATATATATATATACATAGGTCTAGCCTGGGGCTCAACAAGTCAATATACAAAATTCAGTAAAATAACTAC